CATGTATCTGATTGTGTGCTATTCACAAATCTAACCCGCAAACGCTGGAGTGAAAAGTTGCTTGGGAATCTACAAAACTGCTCTCCGGGGAATTGTTTTAATTGCGACAACAGCCACCGACAACACGGTTTATCGGCATTCTTTCGAAATTCACAATTCACTATAGAAATGATTACACGTGTACGACACAATGCAAAACAAAATGAATGCTACGTGTCAAATTAGTTGTCCAATAGCTCTGCCCCGTGTTAAGAGAAGGTCATAGGAAACAAGACCAAATGTGGTTGACTTGACACATGCGAGTTACGTACCCGACTATGCGCCAGAGCAGGGAATGTTATTCTTGCGCGGACTGATCAACTTTCTTGCCAGAGCTATGGATTCTTGTCTGGAAAGTCGAGTCCTTTCAATGGTATCACATTTTTGCCAAGATTTGTCTGCTGCCCTCATCGACCGATTTCGATGAGTTTTTGCAAAGAGCCCATCAGGGACCCTGCTACACGTACATGTATGTAAGGCATGTCTGGATATATACTCACACTTGTCTTAGAAACATGAAATGCCATTGCTCCTTACATGTACTTCCTTGATATAGACTTTCTTAGCTATTTTCTCTTGTCGTTTTCTCCCACTTCAGTGATTTTGAAGTTACTTTTCCTCCATACCCCATGACACTACTCAGCACAGAGTTGCTATGTCCACCGACATCAAAATCCTTTATTTTTGATGCACACTCATCAGCTTTGGATGCAGTTATCCTTCCTGTACTCCCACCATTTAGGCGAATTACTCTGTTCCACTGTTTCTTTTGCCACTGCTTCAAATGATGCTTGCAAATTATCAAGAAAGCACTGTACATGTACATACACATAGTCACAGTCACCCATTTTAAGAATTTTAACTCTGGCCTCATGAACAGTTGGTGGTACATGTATGCTGTCAGACTGGATTTAACAAAATTCTCATCATGTGCAATCTGTTTTCTTGGAGCATGTATGTAACAGTCTCCACCAGTCACTGTACATGTACATGTACTGGTAGCTAGACAATCTAGGTCAAGCTCATCATTGCTACACTCGTGCCTGTCATGAACAGCTCTAGGATCAAACGAAGCTCTGTCGAATGGAGTATGATTAGACTTGGCACTCTCTAAATCTAAGTCACCTCTTACTCCCCCTCTATTCAAGTTTTTCATTAAGTCAGGTTCGTGAATCTTGTGCCACTGCTGAGTTTTAGATGCATGTGCTTTGTTTACTCCCATCTGTACTTCATGTGCAACTTGACACAAGAGGGCTACTGTGTGCTTGCAGAACCCTGTAAGTCCTGCCTGGCATGAAGATAGTGCTGAGGCAATTGATCCATTGTCATGTTGTCATATACATGTACCACCACTTCTGTAGACACAGATTTGATTGTCCTTGTCCACATCTATGGGAGTGGTAATACTTTCCGAAAATGTATGATTGAAGTCTTCATCATTCCACTCCAAAATTCACCTGTAAAATCATGAATTTCTAACATTACAAGGCGAGCTTTGTCTGCATCCGTCACAGTGGCCATCTTGAATAGCATTGTAGAATACCCATAATGCAGTACCGCTAACTAGTTTAAGCATGGCCAGACTGCAGTTACGCCTGTTTACTTTAAGGTTATAAAACAGTGGCTCGGTAGCTGCCAGGTATGGTCGGCGATGATCATGGTAGGCCTACCTGTGATGTTTCTGAGTTGAAACTCCTTGGGTCCTTGCTCTGTGCTCAGATGTGCTGATCATGTTGTGTAAAGAGGCAGGATTGTCAGTAAAAGGTCTGGATTTTGCCGCCAAAAAATGTTTACACGGTTCAAAAAACATAGTACATGTGTGTTAAAGAGAGATTATTTGGTTTTGACTGCTTTTCGGGGAAGATGTGATTGAGAATGTGCAGTTTCGACTTCCAATGGATTGTTCTTGTTGGGCTGCATTAAAAATGCCATAGCATAATGAACTCATTAAAAGTGAGGAACTAGTAATGCCCCGTAGTGCCTTACAGTTCAGGAAGTTCCCTAGGGCCTATGGCCTACATGTAGGTTCGGACAACTCAACTGTTTGCCAACTTGACTGGGGCAAACTTGACCATTGAGATAACTTGACCGTTTGTGCGTCAAAAGAGGGACAAGTTGACTGTTGAGACAAGTTGTCCATTGAGAAAAGTCATCCATTGAGACAAGCTGTCCATTGAGACAAGCTGTCTGCTCAGCCAAATCGTCTATTTTGATGTGTGCAATACATTTCTGTCAAATTCAAACTGTTTAGTACTGACTTAATACTAAGCCTACGTGTTTTTGGAACTTTGTGCAGTGTCATGTCAATTGTTCAAGATGAAAACCCAGCTGGTAGTGGGGCTGAGCCGAAGCAGGCCATTGCCAGAAAGGAGGATGTTGTGCCATTTGTCCTTGTGAAAGCTGTGCCACCTGCGTTGTCAGAGTAGAGATGTGCAGCATCACATGAAGCACACAATGCCAAATGCATAGAATTGTCAAAATCATAGAGCTACTTACATATTAATATACATGTAGCTCTTTGGATAAAATTCTTGCACTGGAGCACTGACCTGGCCACGTGTTTGAATTTTATGTACATGTAGATATCTCACACGGTTGGGTTGTCTCCGTCAAAGTCAAGTTGTCTTAACAGACGACTCAGCAAATGATTGAGTTATCCCACTGGTCGAGTTGTCTCAACCTTTGAGTCTAGCCCTAGCCAGGCACAGGTCAACCTGTACACATGCCAACTCGTACACCTACCAACTTGTATGTGAATTGGGATAAACTTTTAAGCTGACCAATTCTTGTGCTTACTAACTCGTACACCAACCAACTCGTGTCCGCAACATTACACTGCTGTCGGTTTTAGTCTAAACTCTGGAGTCAAATGAAAAAAAATATTTAAAAATTGCTCTTTTCTGAACTACCTGTTAAAAAAAATCTGTTTTCAAAGAATAAGATCAAGATTTAAAATTGAAATACGCAATTACATTTAGAATGTGGTCAAGAAATATAAATGCAAGGAAGAGCCACTTATTTTACTATTTTACGAGTTGACAAGCGTACAACTTGACCAGCATTCCCCTTGCCCCACAATGTGGCTCGTATATCGGTCTACCTCCGTGTAGTGCGCTACACGATACCATTCACTTTATGTATGGAGAGTCCCATTGATAAGGCACATGTACCCTGAAAATGAGATTGGGAATTTTTTCCAAGCTTGAAAGTCCATGCAGCATACATGTATGCACAAAGTTATCGGTTCATATTATGTTGCACCTTTTGCGCTCTGGTTGTTTTGATCTATGGACCAATGGTCACGTATTATCGACAACTGATTTACAAAGTTCGGGCTACGATGAAAGAAAATATGTAATAAAAGCAGTTTTACATGTCTGCTCGTTGAACTACATGTACATGTACATATTAACGCAGGGAGCACAGTGCCGTGTGTTGCGTAAATGTGGCACACATGCTGGTACCTTGATGATGCTTCCTCCGGATAATGATGAATTTCCAACGAGGGGATTTGCACAATTGAAGGAACTTCTCAAGTCACTGGTAATTTTGTTAAGGCATATTTAGCACAGGTGACCATGGATGCTTGTCTGGTAACACAAACTCGCGTTGGTAGTCTTGTCATGCTACATGTAGCAGGCGAAGCGTGTGTCATGTGTCCAGGTAGTCATGTGCGCCTTGAGTAAAGGCTAGAAATTTCGTGCCCCTTACTCAATTCATGTACATGTACATGTACCATGGGTAAAAACCTGTTATATATAATTAACATCTCCCGAACGCAAAAATACATCTTGAAAATAGTTCGCGGTACCCGCTGCTTCATTTG